AAAATTTTCAACACCGGCAACCCGAAGACCAGGAGCCGGGTTACGAGAGTATTTACCACTCGGTTTCTGTACTTTTTTTTCCAGACTGCACCCAGAGGAAGCAGAGGTGATGGTAGAAACAATCCTGCCAACAAGTGCATTTAGCTACCTTGGTGGGAGACATGCCGTGTTGTAAGAAATTACAGGGTATTGAAACTAGTACTTCATCATTTTATCTATTACTAAACTTTTACTTTCAAGGTACATAAGAAAATAATATTAAAGTTCATTGTTATCCAAATTAATTTTTTTTTTTTTACAATGAAATTGGTAACCATAAATCACAACTAAAATAAAATACTGAAGCAGTATAATTGGTATATAGGCTTACTATGCAATAATTGCTTGATAAATCAGTATTATCATGCGAGGTGCTCTCACTGTAGCAAAGCATGTCATGTCTCACTTTATCCACACCTTCCATTCCACTTTGATATTTATTTCACCTTCATTTGAACTTCTCAAATTTTGTAATTTCTCACTGACTTTTTTTTTTTTTTTTTTTTTATACAAGTCAAGATGACATGTGGATGCCCTAGTCATTTTTCAAACTACTCCTGCAAGTCTCCAATGCTTTAACAGTTAAAATATAAATATTCTCATGTCTAAAGGTTTATTTCCAGCAACACCAGCCTATTGCACACAATGCAAGTCTCCAATGCTTTAACAGTTAAAATATAAATATTCTCATGTCTAAAGGTTTATTTCCAGCAACACCAGCCTATTGCACACAACATACAAATAACTGGCATTTAAAAAAAAACAGATGTAAATGATCCCCTAATACACTTTACAGGGAGTCTCCAACTTGGGCAAAAGTTCTGTTAATTGGACTCCAGCTTATAAACTAGTTGTTTGTAACGAGGAAGGTGTTTTCCAGTGGGAAACAATAGTACACTGGATGGTTATGTTTCACCCATGTTCATGATTATGAAGTGACAGTTAAAAATTTAATTGCTTGTCATGTGTCATTACCAACTGCACAGGTTTATGCCTCTGCTCAAGTTGGGGACTCTCAGTACTGGCATGCACACTAACATAAGCATATATATGTATGGAGATATGACCATATTTGCATGTACAGTACTTGTACACATCTACATATATAAAAAAACCATGAAATATATAATAATTTCATCCTCACAATTTAAAAAAAAAAAAAAATACTGTACTGAACTGTATTTTTTGATATATTACAAAGGATAATATAATTTCTAAATAGAAACATCATTATCAAAGAATTCACACATTTTCATTTAAGTTATTAATCTTGTGTTTAGCTTGATCCTGGACAACCTTTCTCCATACTGAGTACTGTGCCACTCTCAATATACATCCAGTCATGCCTATAATTTTTCCTTACTCTAAAAGTTGTCAATGTTATTTTTCTCCCTGTTCACATGCTGCAACCTTCATGTATTGCTCAGCTCCTTTAGCAAAAGTCAAATTATTTTATTAACAATTAATTTTGTGAATACTTTGTAGCTAAAAACCTTAATGAACACAACCTCACTACTCTCATTTCTTTTACAGTCAATAATGCTCCCAAAATGATGGCTACAAACACTGCCTCATTTCAAAATTTTTTACTAATGGCAAAACTGTCAGTCATTTACCTTCTAACAGTGTGCTCTCAAGTACTGCACAACAATCCCTTATCACTAGATTTCACATTTTAAAACTAGCAGAATGTACCTTCAAACTTTTTATAGCCTTCAGCTTCAATTTTTTCTTAGATCTACAAACCTAAAACAGTATCTAACTGAAAATTTCAAAATATTAATCAACACTCACATATATTCAATAAATAATATAACTTGCTCAGATGCATTAGAAAATTATCACAAATAATCCAGGTACTCTTTGCTTATTTTTCAGCAAAATCATTTCAAGATGCATCTTATGCCAGGTGATAAATCCACATACAACACTGTATGAATACTGAAGCACCTTACTTTACTGGACTGTAAAAGGAAACTATTTTCCTAATACACTGCAAGTCTTTAAGCAAGTGTGGTTATCCTATTTCTAACTGTCATGGGATGGGAGGCACTTATTCGGAGAGGATGGAAAGGTAGTGTAGTATGTTTATATAGAATCAGCAACACCTTTTTCATAATGCATTCCATACGTGCACACACACACACACACATTATAATTAATTGTACAGTCTAAGAAAATATCCACAGCAACCACAAAATGTTTAAAAATAAAATATCTCTTCTGACAAGTTGGTTCCATTGAAATCTTCAACTTTCAGTTCTTATTAAAACTGGGCCACATCACTCCATATTTAAATTGTCTAATACTATTGAAAAACTTTTGAACTCTTATGCTACCATGATCACTTTACATTTATATAGATAGAGTGAATCAGTACTCTGAAGTAGCTAGAGAAAAACTAGTGATTATGACCTCTCATTGCAAACCTGAACCATACCTTAAGAATTGATCAAATCTGCTGCAAATAACAAGTGGATAAAACCTATGGGATTAAAAATATAAAATTCTAAAATAAAACTAAGGACACTGTGTTCTGGATAAGGGAACACTGTTAAGATCATAGATTACAGAATCTAATTAATTTTGCATTTGATATTTTACAATATAATACAATTTTGGTAATAGATTTATTTGCTAAAAAAATATATCAATAAGTGAGCACTAAAAATGAATTTCTTTACCAGTTGCAATAACCAAAAAACTATACAACCAAATACACATACCAAATGACAAGATTCAGAAAATTCTGCATTTGATAGCGTCTTAAATTTATACATGGAATCAGAAAAACAGTTAGCTATTATGAGTATGAAAAAATTTAGGGAAGTAAATTTGGTATACCCTGCTGTGAAACAAGTATACCTGTGGCTTGGAGATACTTTGCTCTCAGTCTAGTCTGAGGCCAAACTACTGTTGACTGCCTGGTCAGTCAAGATGTGGCTGCCAGCAGCCTGCATACCTACATTGCCATCACAACCCAGGTTATCTGCCACTTATCTACTAGACACAATGATCACATTCATCCATTCTAAATGATGCTAACAAATTTACTTGTACATTTCAGCAATGTTTACATAAGAGCCTCAGCTTTATAAAGAAACCAGTCACATCGGTATTATCACCAAGAAAAATAAAATATTTTATAGAAGGAAGTCATGCCAAGTAAACAATTACAATGAGGTACTGTACATTTTTTCCTTAGTGGTTTCTTCGTAAGATGCAATACTTCCAGGTATTAGAGTATTTCCTGGCTTTCTAGTTTTAGTAGAAATTGGTTAAGAAATGTTTAGTGTTCCTTAGAAGTAGAAATTTTGAATGATTTTATTTCTTTACCAAATGCACTAAATTGTGGTACTGTATGTGCTCACTGTATATGATAGGTTTATTATGTATAGATGATAGGCTAGGTGTATATATGATAGGTTCAGAATGTCTATATGATAAATTTACAATATATGGAGGGTAGGTTCAGTGTATATATGATAGATCATGTATGTTTGAAAAAAAAAAAAAAAAAAAAAAAAAAGACCAGAAGTGTGGACTTTTTTTTTTTTTTTTTTTTTGACCTGATGAAGAATTAATTCACTTTTTGAGAACTACACAAAATAGAGCCTAGAGGCAATTTCACTTTCAAGATCCATCCTGGCAGCTTGGTTTATCTGTGCATCTGTGGGAGCTTCTGATTCCCCAGAGGCTAGAGAGGAGGTCTCACTGGGACACAGGTCCTGAATGTGTACCTTGGCTCTGTGGAAATAAAAAAGTAAGCAATACAAAACATTTCAATCTTTCATGGAAATACAATACACACTCAATCTCACTTAACAGGCAAGGGCAGCCAGCACTAAGGGGGCTAAACCACCCTCCCCAAAAATTGCATCAGCCCCTGTAAACGGTGATATTTGTGTAGTACTTGTTACTTGTAGAGAGATTTCCCAGCTCCCTCGCTAGCCATGACGTCACATTCTCCCATGAACCAGAGTCAACCCAGAGGCCTCTGCCTCACTTCCCGACTAGGAATAGTTGATGGAAGATAAGCATTATTCATAATAAAACACCTCCATAACAGGTTTTTTGGTGATGAATTCAATAAACACTTCATCCTAAAATCCCAGCTAAGACTCCTAAATAAAAATAATCTTTCAACACACTGCCCATATACCACTGAAGCAGGGTGGCCCAAAAAGAAAAACACAAGTTTCTATTTTTTAACTTTAGTAACGTATACAGGAGAAGGGGTTACTAGCAACTTGCTCACGGCATGTTAGTCACCTCTCACGACACACATGGTTTATGAAAGAATCCTGTTCCACTTCCCCATGGAGATATGGAAATAAACAAAAACAAGAACTAATAAGAAAACAGAAAAACCCAGAGGGGTGTCTACATGTATCCTTGTACAGTGGTACCTTGACTTAAGAGTTTAATTCATTCCGTGACTGAGCTCGCAACTCAATTTGCTCGTATATCAAATCAATTTTCCTCAATGGAATTAACTGAAATGCCATTAATCCATTCCAGCCCTCCAAAAACCACCCCAGGGGTAGGAGAAAATACTTCAATATAACACTAATATCAACTCTACGGCTTATCTATGAGAACTGATCTAATATGACATAATAAACACTAAGTAACAGAAACGTGATATATACTCTAGATTATTATAATAAAAAAGAAGCGCTAAACCACAAGGGCTATACAGCGCTGAAGGGCAGGGAAGGAAGCGAGGGTATCTGGCGGCAAAAGGGGGGAGGGATGATTAGAGGTTACAGAAAACAGTGGAGCAGGGGATAGTGCGGGGGTAGAGGGTAGTATGAGATTGAGGTAGAAAGGGCTGAGGGGAGTGCTAAAGGTATCATCATCGAGTTTGTGGAGTCAGTCAGTTGTTGTCAAAGTCAATGAGAGAGTCCGGATGAAAGGAGGGTCCATCAGCAAGAAGGGAAGGTAGAGAGAGCAGCAAAGCGAAGACGACGACGGAGGTAAATTCTGCGTGCTCGTTGATAGAGTGGGCAGTCTAACAGAATGTGGCTGACCGATACTGGAACCTGACAATTCTCACAGAGAGGAGCAGGGCACGTCTCCATGAGATATCCATGAGCAAGACGAGTGTGGCCAATGCGAAGGCAGGAGACAGTCTCCCAACCTCGACACTGATGACAAGAAGACGGCCAGTAACCTATACTCAGTTTAAAAGAACTAAGTTTGTTATTGAGCAGAGCAGGCCAACGTTGTTGCCAACGGGTGTGAAGGTGGGTAGCTATAACAGCAAAATAGTCCGTGAATGGAACACCTCTATATGAAACTGGAAGGTCATGTACTGTTGATTGCGCAGCAGTGTCTGCCTGTTCATTGCCCTGTACGTCAACATGACCAGGGACCCAACAAGAAACAATATCTTTATGCTTGGTAGAGATACGGCGTAACCAAAGTTGGATACGGAGAACTAGGGGGTGAGGTGTATCAAATTTTTGTATAGCCTGTAAAGCACTAAGGGAGTCTGAAACAACCACAAATGATGACAAAGGCACAGATGCAATACGGATAAGTGCTGCAAGAATGGCATACAATTCAACAGTAAAAATGCTAGCTGAAGACAGTAAATGCCCTCGCACGACGCTGTCCGGAAACACCGCTGCGAATCCGACACTGTCAGAAGACTTAGAGCCATATGTGTACACTGCAATGGCATGAGAAAGAGTGGAAGTGGTCAAGAAAAGGAGCGGGAAGCCACCGTAGGCAGTGAAAAACAACAGACTAACAGCTGGAACTTCCCAGGAGGGTAGGGAAAAGCGAGGTGCTACATGAACATATAAAGGTGGTAACTGAAGGGAAGACAAGAGCGAATGTAGGCGAAGAGAGAAGGGACGGAGCAAATGGGCGGCGAACAAATAAAGAATGTCTACTAATATCGGTGACCATTCTATAAATGGAAGGACTGCAGAGATCGTGAGAGCATACATAGTAGCAAAGGCAATGGGCATCACGGTGATCAGACAAGGATGGAACATTTGCTTCTGCATAGAAGCTCTGAACAGGGAAAGAGCGAAAAGCACCAAGGCATAAACTTAATCCTTGGTGATGGATGGGGTTAAGGCTAGAGAGTAGTAGGAGAGGCCGCTGAATAGATCTGGTCACCATAATCGAGTTTTGATAAAATGAGGGCTGAATGTAGGCGAAGGAGAGTTCGACGATCAGCTCCCCATGAAAGATGAGCAAGGGTTTTAAGAAGGTTCAGCCAGCTGTGACAAGTTACCTTCAGAGAGGTAATGTGAGGTTTCCAGGATAACCTACGGTCAAAGAGAAGGCCTAGAAACCTGACTATCACGTTCAGGGATACGGGAGCCATAGAGGTATAAAGGATGATTGGAGATGACAGAGCGTCTAGTGAAAGTAATTTGGCGAGTTTTGGTACTGGAAAATTTAAACCCATGCGTGGTGGCCCAATTGGAAACACTGTCGACCGCATGCTAGAGAGAAACTGTAATGAGGCGACAGTCAGCGCCTGCACAAGCAATACCGAAGTCATCAACAGAGTGATGACCAAATATTGGATGGAAGAACAGACGCCAAATCATTTATAGCAAGGAGAAAAAGTGTTGTGCTCAGAACACATCCCTGAGGGACACCTTCAGCTTGGACAAAGTCCGGGGAGAGCACATTATTGACTCGAACACGGAAATGTCTGTCAGTTAAAAAGTTCTTAAGGAAGGATGGTAGATTGCCTCGGAGGCCTAAGGAGTGGGCTTGGGCCAAAATATTATGCCTCCAAGTTGTGTCATATGCCTTCTCAAAGTCAAAAAATATGGTAATAACCGAGTGGTTATTTGCAAAGGCATTACGAACATACGTATCCAAGCGGAGTAAGGGGTCTACGGTAGATCGGCCCTTACGAAAGCCGTACTGACTAGTGGAGAGACTGTTGCGTCTCTAAATACCACATTAAACGTCGATTTACCAGACGTTCCATCACTTTGCAAACTGCACTAGTAAGAGCAATGGGATGATAGTGGGAGGCATGTCCCATAGTACCCGACTTGCGGAAAGGGAGAACAATGGCTGATTTCCACAGCTGGGGAAGAACTCCTTGTGACCAAATAAGATTGAAGAGGTGTAAGAGGACTACAAGGGCTGACTGATGTAAATGTTGTAACATCCGAATATGAATGTCCTCAGGCCCAGCTGCCGATGATCGGCAAGCTGAGAGTGTTGCCTCCAGTTCCTGAAGTGTAAAAGGCACATTATACTGCTCTACTCTGAGAGAAGAAAAGTCCAAGGGTACTAACTCTCTGGCAGACCTTGAGGAAAGAAACGAGGGGCATAGGTGGAGCCCCCGGGAAATATGAACCAGATGAGTGCCAATTTCAATGGCAATGTCAAAAGGGTTTGCTACATCAACACCAGCAACCCATAGAACAGGAGCCGGGTCAGGAGAGTATTTACCACTCGATTTCCTCACTTTTTTCCAGACTGCACTCAGAGGAAGAAGAGGTAATGGTGGAAACAATCTCACCAGCAAGTGCGTTTAGCGTCACTGATGACACTGCGAGAGATCGCACGCTTCTGCTTAAAATCAAGAAGTCTCTCATTGGTTCTATTGTACCGGTACCTGCACCATGCAGCATGTTTCAAACGTACTGCACGAGCACAAGCAGGAGACCACCAAGGCATGCACTTCTGAGAATACCTGCCTGAGGTTTGGGGTATAGAATGAGAAGCTGCGGTGAAAACCGACGTCAAGAAGAGGTGTAGGAGCTCATCAATGGAGGACGAAGAAGGAATCTCACTAAAAGCGGTGAGCTGCGAGTAAAGGTCCCAATTTGCCCGATCAAATTGCCAGTGAGGGCTATGGAAAGGTGGTGAATATGAAGAAGTAAGAATGATTGGAAAATGATTGCTGTCATGCAAGTCCAGTAGAACAGACCAGGCGAAGTCTAGTGCAGTGGAGGAAGAGCAGACCGATAGATCAATGAAAGAGTGTATGAGCACGAGGAGGAGAGGGAAGAGAAGGAACAGGAGGTGGATCAGTGTCCATTGAAGGTTTAGTCTCTGCAATATATTCTGAAATTGCTTCAAGTGTTTCTGAATTCAAAGACATATGGGAGACAATATTGGAGGTAGGAGGAGGAGGGCGAGTAAAGATTGGGACAGTAATGGACTGTACCAAAGTAGAGGGGGATGAAAGAGTGTAGGGGACTGGAGAAGTGTGGGAGGGGACACAAGAGGCAGAAACCTGGGAGGTTGCAGAAGAAGGAGGAGGGTGAACCTCCACACTTGTAATAGAGCCAGAGAGAGGGGAAGAACTAGGCACAGAGACTGGAAAGGTAAAATGCAGAGGTGGAAGAAGGGAAGGAGGGGGGGCAAAGATGATTTGAGCAATGGGGATTTTTTTTGGACTTCTGAGAAGTAGAGGGGCGATTGGTATAAGGTGTCGTACGAGGTCTTGTCGATACAGGGGCTTGTGAGGAAGGACGCGAAGATGTGAGAACAGCCCAGGACAGCAAAAGAATTACATACCGGAGTGGCTATGGGAGGGGTAACCACAGAGGAGGCTGCAGAAGATGGGGCCCCAGAAGTGGGGGGGAGTTTTGAAATGAGAATAAGAAACACGGGGTAGTCTCCCTTGGAGGCAGAGACGAGAAACTGCCATAGCACGAGAGAGACCTTCTGCCTCTTTGAGGCAATGGATTTCACGCTCATTTAAGTAGACCTGGCAACAGTGAGAGTACGAAGTATGAGCCTCATGACTC